CACTCTCACTCTCACCACCCCACTCTCACTCTCACCCCACTCTCTCAACATCCCACTCTCACCCCACTCTCACTCTCACCACCTCACTCTCACCCCACTCTCACACCACTCTCACCTCACCCTCACCACCCCACTCTCACCACCCCACTCTCACTCTCGCCACTCCCTGTGTACACTCGACACACTCTCTCGGGATACTCCCCACTCTCATGCACCACTCTCTCTACTCTCCCACCTCTTTCCTCTCATGCTTCATGAACTTCACTGTGATCCTAGATTATCTATGTTCAATTGCCGGCTAACGGCACTTGGTCAAACAGTCGGCACTGGCTACATGGGGGGCCTTTATCTGTGTGTGTGTGTGCGCAGGTGTATAGTGCGCGCCCTACGCGACCCCAACACATTCCTTTTCGACCACCTGCTGGCGCTGAAACCGGTTCGATTCCTGGAGGGGGAGCTCATCCACGACGTGAGGGCAGAGCGGCGACGGGCACCGCCACCGCAGGCGCGCACGCGGCACCCCGTTCGTCACTCTCGCGCGGCGCACGTGATGGTGGCGTGCGTGTCACGTGTGTCACGTGTGTGTCGTCTGTCTCTCCCCCCCCCGACCTGTAGCTGCTGACGATCTTTGTGAGCGGGAAGCTGTCCGCCTACCTCAAGTTCTACGGGGCCAACAAAGATTTTGTGGAGTCCCTGGGTAGGAGTACGCCCACAAACACCGACCGACCCCCTGCAGGCCAGGGTGAACGCACAGGGCACCCTGGGTTATCCCAGTCCGCCCACTGGTGGTCACTCACAGAGCCACACTCAAGCTCCCACAGGGTTCAGTGATAATCACCGAGACACACACAGCCAGACTAAACGGGTCGTCGTGGACTTGGATGATGGCTGCAACTAAACCCGCCGGTGCTGCCCCCATGACCCCGTGACCCTTGCCGCCCCCCCCCCCCCCCCCCAGGACTTTCACACGAACAGAACCTGGGCAAGATGCGGCTGCTCACGTTCATGGGCATGGCCGTGGAGCAAACGGAGATTGGCTTCTCCACCATCACCCAGGAGCTCCAGATCTCTCAAGACGACGTGGAGGCCTTCGTCATCGATGGTGAGAAGGATGAAGAAGTGGTGATGGTTGTGGAGGACGAGGAGGATATGGCGGTGGAGAAGTATGTGTAGCAGGAGGGAGCGGTGGCGCAACAATTAGCACGATGCGCTACAACTCCGGTGACCCCGAGTTTAATTCCAGCTCACGGCCATCATTATCTGAACCGGTCCTGGGCCTCCTCCTAGGTTGACTTGGCCTCAAACGAGAAATCGGTGCGATATGTAAACATCGTCGACAAAGGCGGCCGGGCGTGTTGCCGGCCATCCATACATGCGATATAGAATAGAATCCACCCCCTCATGTGCCGTGCCGGCTTTCACAGGTGCTCGCTAACTGCACTTGCCCCAACAGTCTAAGGCTGAAGTGATGGTAGGAGAGGAGGTAGAGGAGGTGGTGATGGAGAGCGAGTAGGAGGATGTGGAGGAGTAAGATGTGACGGAGGAGGTGGTCAAGGAAGAGGGAGTTGGGCAAGGTGGTAGAGTAGGAGGAGGTCGGTGAAAGAGGAGGGAGATGCGTGTGGATGACGAGGCGGTGAGCGAGTGTCCTCGCAATGTACCGACTGACATCGCACACAACAAACGATCGCTCGTGAGGCCCGCATGTGGCCCCGCTTAGCCCCGATCCAGACTCGGATGACTTTTCGCGGGACCAGCAGCAGCAGCGCGTGTATCGCGGTTTGATCATCGGCAAATAGCCCCGGTGGAAAACCACACGTGCTGTGCTGGCCCCGTGCTAGCTCGGATGTGCCCGTGGGGAGGGGATTGTGCACGTGTGTGTGACTGTGCACGTGTGTGTGACTGTGCACGTGTGTGTGACTGTGCCCAGTGTGTGACTGTGCCCGGTGTCGCCCTGCGCCTGTGTTTACAGCCGTGCGCACCAAGATGGTTCATTGCAAGATCGACCAGACTCAGCGCAAAGTGGTCGTGAAGTGAGTTCCACAGTCACTGCGCGGAGTGTGTGTGTGTGTGTGAACCACGCCCCTCCACGCACTCTCATACCTCTCATCTCACTCCCCTCCCTCTCGCTCTTGATGTTGTGGTAATTGATGTGGTTGTCGGTGCGGTGATGGCTGATGCTGTTGTGGCTGTTGTTGTTTCTGCCTGCGTAGCCACAGCACGCACCGCACGTTCGGCCGGCAGCAATGGCAGCAGCTGTTTGACAGCCTCGGCTCGTGGAACCAGCACCTCACTCAAGTTCGCACGTCGCTCCTCAGCATCGTCAGCAGCTGAGGCGTCACAACCACCGCCACAACCACCGTCACCACCACCGCCACAACCACCGTCACCACCGCCTGCACCGGTGCCACTATCCCTGCTCGCAATATCAACAACACCACCACCGCAACCACCAACAGCTGCTAGAACCACTCATTGCTACTGCTCCTACCGCCACCGCAACCACCACCACCAACATCACAACCACCACTTGCCGCTAACATCCACACCACCATCACCGCCAATGTTGCCGTCACTACCAATAACCACCACGACCGCCGCATCCACGCGGGCTCAGCCACACGGACTAACCCACGCGGGCAAAGCCACGCGGGCAAAGCCACGCGGGCTCGCACAACTAGAAGCGAGGGCAGGCACACAAACAACCACACACAACTTGGCAACAGGAGCGATGATGAACACCGTGTGAAATAAATGCCACCGAGCGGCAATGTGAGGACTCATCATTCGTGTCGATTGCATCTCTCACGGTAGTCGCGGAACCACAGACGGACGGAAAGAGAAACAGCAGCAGCAGCCAGGCCGTGAGGAGCCGGCCACTCCAGTAATTGCCTCCCAAGCTTTGCGGTCCTCTATATATTAAAATGTTTTAAGCCAATTAATGTTATACATGTGGGAGGAAACCGGAGCACATGGAGAAAATCCATGCGTGGGAGGGGGCAACACATTATCCCCGTACAGATGGGAGAATAGTTCACCTTGCTCTCCCGCCGTGCGCTGCTGAGCCAGGGTACGGCTGCTCCTCAACGGGGTTTAACCCCGGATCTGCAGCCCTGGACAACTCGGCTTGGAAATTCCATTCTTATGGCAGGGCTACCAATTACAGAATGACCACTGTAGGCTTCTCCACAAAGTGGTACCTATTTTATACACAACAGACGGATGATTGGCCGAGTCAACCCCTGACTGGGATTTCAACTTGGGCCCTTCTGCTTGCGAGCCACTCACTGCCACCGAGGCACCAGAGCGGATGAAGGACAAAGCGGATTTTGCTGGTCTGGCTGATCCACTGCTAAAGGTCTCATTCCGAAGTTCTCGGGGAAACCTTGCTCAATTGAGAGCAGCGGCCCGCGTGCAAACGTTGATGGAGCCGGAAGCCATGGAGACCTGGGCGATGAGTGTGTGCGTTTGTTGATACAGGAGCCATTGCCGAGTGCACTTGACAAGGTCCGCGTGTCTCGGTGCGGAACAGGAACAGCCGCCGGGCTGTTTACTCGGTAGGGAGCGGCAGTCGTGGGCCTCTGTCAGCCAGAGGTTCTGAGACTTGAGTCGTGGGGATTGTTGTGGGCGTGTGAATCCGTGTGAGCCTGCGGGTCTCTATTTGAGTCTGTGAGTCTACGGGTCTCTGCAAGTCTGGGTCTCTACACGAGGCCACGGGTCTGCACGTGAAAATGAAACGCGCGAGTCTCCAGTTCAATCTGTGAGCGAGGCAGGAGAAGAGGACAAGTCTTGAGCCTGAACTTGAACAGGGGCAAGCAGCCGACACCACATACAGCTGGAGGTATTGCCACACTTAGAAATGTTACCGGACAAGACGCTTCACATGGAGGCCGTGGCCATATTGTTTATTTATATTTACACCCCCACCGTGAGAGCCCGTGAGCATGCCGCTGGACCGCTAGCCGCGTGGCCGCGGGCGGTGCCGCGTGGTCTCGCACGCGGTGCCACGTGGTCTCGCACGCGGTGCCACGTGGTCTTGCACTATGCTCGACGTGTGTAGCTCCGCATGCTGCGAAAATCAGGAACTGAAAATTCAGCTCAGCTCCCCTCCCCCCCCGTTCGCAGCACGTGGCACAAAACGTCAGACATCGTGGCCGGATGAGCAAACGCTGGCAGGGCTCTCCCGCAGTGTATATTATTTTCCCATTTGCATACATATACAATTTGCATAGATCAGAAACAATTGTGCTGTAGGTGACGTTACGCGTGTGTTGTGACCGTAGGAATTGGCGAATCCTCACCGCCTCCGCAGAAAAACACCGCCCCCCTCGTCACACTCGCCCACACCTCCAATCCTGTGGTCGTGGTCCCACTTGTAGCTGTCGCCACGAGCGATGATCATCGCCACGCTCGCTAATTGCAAAGTTCGTTAGCGGCAACACCATTACCGCTGGTAACGCCCTCGCGACCGAGACCCGGGACCAAGAGCCTCGGGCCTCGCGGGAGACATCGGCCACTGACTCGCCGCGCGCAAGAACCGGCGTAGCGGCCGCGTGGGATGCGCGTGGAGGCGCGTGGAGGCAAGGGTCAATCTGCCGCTGGATGAGCACCTCCCCACGCCTCGCCGCCGCTCGTGGGACGCGTCCGCACCCATCGCCGCGCCGGGTCGGCAAACCGGCCCCGGGGACCGGCGTTGGTGGGGTCGCGAATGGTAGGCGGCGGCACAGCGGCCACGCGGGGCCCGAGCACGCCTGCAGCTCCTCTCGTACCCGATGGTTAAAAAGTAGCCAGCCCCATCATGGGGCCGTAGATGCGGCTGCCCTCATTTAGCTCTAATATAGGAGCCCCCCCCCCCCTCCAAACTGATTGAAGCAGCCCCCCACTCTGATTGTCTGACCAGCCAGGAAGTCGTTTAATCCCAGAGTAACCGTGAATTTCACCCCCCCCGCACCCCCCCCCCATCACCAATACCTCCTCCATACCCCCCCCCCCCCCCCACCGGCTGTCCAGGCTTGCGATGTTATTCGACACAATTTGTGCTCGTCGGCAGTGAGCGGCCACCCTCGTGGCTGAACGTGGCCGCCCTCACAGTGACCCGTCCCTGGTGTCACTCCCCATCTCTCCGTCCCGGTCCAGCAGTGGACTGAGCATTACCGAAGAAGATGTGTTCACATCATCAGCCATCATCGTTGGGAAGATTTCCGTTGTAGCTGTCATGATTAGGGGCTTTATTGCTCGCTGGTATGTGGCACGTGACTTGCAGTAGTAACCACAGCCATGGCACGAGGTATCCTGGATGTGGTGTGCCGAGTGCGGAAAGATCTAGTTCGAAATAAGCTCTGCAAGTGGATGATGATGATCATGATGATAAAGTCTCTTCATTGGTGGGTACCATCCATTGTCGGTGCTGTTAATGACGAATTCATCCTCTGCGTAGAGAATAAGCTGTCGTCGTCAGAGAAGATGCAACCGGTTGTAATTAGTCAGGAAGATGAGCGCTTGGCTGGAGATGCCGTTGATGACGTCATCGTCGTTCCGGAGAGGTTTAGTTGTAGATGCCGTTGATGACGTCATCGTCGTTCCGGAGAGGTTTAGTTGTAGATGCCGTTGATGACGTCATCGTCGTTCCGGAGAGGTTTAGTTGTAGATGCCGTTGATGACGTCATCGTCGTTCCGGAGAGGTTTAGTTGTAGATGCCGTTGATGACGTCATCGTCGTTCCGGAGAGGTTTAGTTGTAGATGCCGTTGATGACGTCATCGTCGTTCCGGAGAGGTTTAGTTGTAGATGCCGTTGATGACGTCATCGTCGTTCCGGAGAGGTTTAGTTGTAGATGCCGTTGATGACGTCATCGTCGTTCCGGAGAGGTTTAGTTGTAGATGCCGTTGATGACGTCATCGTCGTTCCGGAGAGGTTTAGTTGTAGATGCCGTTGATGAGGAAGTCGGCCCGCGTGTAGTCGCGCCGCCTGTAGCTCATCACCGCCTTCCTACCCAGAATGCCAAGCGCCGCCACCACGAGTACCACCCCGAAGAACGTGCAGGCCACCAGGGCCCCCGCGTCCCCGCCCATGGGCCCCCCCGCCTCCGTGGGGCCCCCACCCTCGGCGGGCAGCCCATTCCTCGCACCATCGCCCCCCACCCCACCCTCCTGCGTGGTGGCGCTGTCCAGCGTGGCAGTGGATTGGGGGACAGCACCGCTAGTTGCTTGTGGTGGTGGTGTAGTGGGTGGTGGTGTAGTGGGTGGTGGTGGTGTGGTGGGTGGTGTGGTGGGTGGTGGTGGTGTAGTGGCTGGTGGTGGTGGTGGTGTAGTGGCTGGTGGTGGTGTAGTGGCTGGTGGTTGTGTGGTGGGTCGTGGTGTTTGTGTGGTGGGTGGTGGTGGTGGTTGCGTGGTGGGTGGTGGTGGTTGTGTAGTGGTTGGTGGTGGTTGTGTGGTGGGTGGTGGTTGTGTGGTGGGTGGTGGTTGTGTGGTGGTTGATGGTAGTTGTGTGGTGGGTGGTGGTTCAGTTGTAGGTGGTTTGGTTGTGGTGGTTGGTTCAGTTGATGGTATCAGTGGTGGTGTTGGAACGGTGGTTGTGTCTGTTGTGGATGTGGTGGTTTGCAGTTTAGTGGTTATCGGTTGTGGAATGGTGGTTGTTGCAGCTGCAGTCGTGATTATTGTGGTTGGTGCAATCGTGGTTGGAGGCATAGTTGTGGTTGTGATTACAGTTGTATTTGGTGCCAGAGTGAGTGTGGTGGTGGTAGGCTGGGTGGTTGTTGTGGTGGTTGGCTTGGTTGTGTTGGTTGTCGGCTTGGTTGTGGTGGTTGTCGGCTTGGTTGTGGTGGTTGTCGGCTTGGTTGTGGTGGTTGTCGGCTTGGTTGTGGTGGTTGTTGTGGTGGTTGTCGGCTTGGTTGTAGTTGTGGTGGTCGGCTTGGTTGTGGTGGTGGTTGTGGTGGGTGCTACAGTTGTGGTTATTGCTGGTCCCTTTATGATTGTTGGTTGTTGGGGTTCGACCTCCTTGGGAGCGGCGGTGGTGGCAGGAGAGGAAGCGTCAGGCTGCTCGTTAACTTGGTGCGACCGTGTTGTCACCCGTGCCTTCCTTGTAGCTACAAAGACAAAGATCCCCCGCATAGCCTCCATCAACCCGTTGGGGCACACGCGGCACCTATGAAAGTCGGCACAGCACACGCGGGGGTGGGTGGCCAGCACCACACATGACCGCCTTTATCTCCCCAGTGGCGATGTTTAACACATCGCACCAGGCACTCATTTGAGGTCCACCTAGGTGATGCCCAGGACAGATTCAGATATTCGTTACTTGTGCTGACCGTGAGCGGACATCATCGCGCAGCGCCCTAACCGCTGCGCCACCGCTCCCACACACACGTGGACACAGACACACAGATACAAACGCACGTACACTCTCAGATACATGCAGACACTCTCGGACATATACAAATGAACATGCCGCGGACACACAAACACGATTAGACTGCCACCACCAGACGCACGTCTCGAGACTCGGCTGAACGTGTGTATGTATGTATGTTGAACTTCTTACGCGCCGTACATAGCCAACCGTGCCAATCGGAGGTGCGTGTGGTGTGCGTGTGGAGTGCGTGTGCTCACAGCGCCAAGTGGGGTGACACACGGGGGGAGACGGAGTGACACGGGGGCCAGGCAGGTTGAGGCGGCACTCACATTTGCGGTGGCGCACTCCCGTGGCCCGGCTGCCCGGCGCCGGCACGAGTGGGCACGCGGCGTCACTAGGGCACGAGTAGAGGAGGCACGGGGAAGAGCCCCCCTCCCACGCCGCAGACACCTCCACCGCCAGCGTGCAGGGCGGGCGCCCTGCGGTGCGGCAGCAGCGGAGAGAGAATGACGCCGCGTGACGAGCGGGCAGGAGGAACGCAGTTGAGAGATTTCTCCCCGGTTGTCGTGTTTGTTAGATTGCCCTAACAATGGAACCGATTCTTGGGGGTAGTAAATCACAGTCCAGCCGTGCTGGGGTCACACTGTGGGCAGCAGCAGAGAGCGGTGGAGCAAAATGACATCGACACGACGCTGCACTTTGATGCTTCCAAGTCTGTGTCTCGTCTTCACCAGCGTGGTGAAATATAGTCAAATACCCCCCCCCCCCCCACCGTCGCCACGACCCACACGGTTTTGGGAGGTCCCCGTTCAGCAGTGGATTGACAAGAGGGCTGAAGGTGTTGCGTGAGGTGGATCGGGGGGCATGGTGGAGTTAAGGGGGTCAGGTTAGGGGGGTCAGGTTAGGGGGGTCAGGGTGGGAGGGGGGTCACGTGAGGGGGGTCAGGGTAGGGGGGTCAGGGTAGGGGGAGTCAGCGTTGGGCACCTGCTGTGTTCATGTCGCAGCAAATCTGGGCACAGTCGCCCTGCGCGGCCCCCAGCGCCGTGGCGCCCAGGGCCGCCAAGGCGGTGGCGTTGGGCGCCACCTCTCCCAGCTCGGCGTGGTCGCACCGCTCCAGCGCGGAAGAGCCCCCCTGGCTCCACCCGCACAGCACGACGACGAGGAGGACGAGGTGCGTGGAGTCGGCCATGGCCGCACCCTCGGCCGTGTGGGACAACGCAGTCGACACGGTCGCTACGGGCTGCACCGCCACCACGACCAGCAACAAAGATCCCCGTATAGCATCAATGGACTGTTGGGGCAAGTGATGTTAGCGACCGTCTATGGAGGCCAGAACGGTACACGAGGGGGTGGGTGGCCAGCACCACGCCCGGCCGCCTTTGTCTCTCCAGTGGCGATGTTTACACATTGCATCAGGTACTCATTTGAGGTTGAGTCGAACTAAGGGAGGCCCAGGACCGGTTCAGATAATCGTCACTCGTGTTGGCTGTGAGCGGGAATCGAACTCGGGTCGCCGGGTTTGTAGCGCAGCGCGCTATCCGCTGCACTACCGCTCTAACCGCAACAACAACAACCGCCATTCGCCACTAAGTCTCGGTGACGTCACCACGGCGCTTGTGCCAGGCTATGTGCACGTTGAGGCCACGTGAAGTGTCGAACGCCGCTGGCAGGAGGCCACGGGGCAGACCCAGCAGGTGCCACGGGTCGACTGACAGATTAATAGCCGATGCACCACCTGTGCCCCCTATTGTGTCAACCACCACCACCTTTACAACAGCAACAACAACCACAACAACACCCACCACCGCAACCACGACGACCGTAGCAGCACCTGGGATGCCCGTGGGTCCCGGCGAGTCCCGGCGGCTCAGGACCCCAGCCTCCTGCAGCGAGGGGTCCGTGGCGCAGCACGCAGGAGCCGGGGGTCCGTGGCGCAGCACGCAGGAGCCGGGGGGCTGTGGCGCAGCACGCAGGAGCCGGGGGGCTGTGGCGCAGCACGCAGGAGCCGGGGGGCTGTGGCGCGCACGGACAGACGGGCGCAGTGCTGCCAGCGACTCGCGGAGAGCGCCGAACGCTGCGCGTGACATTTGCCAGGAGCAGCGTGCCGGCGACAGTCACACGATGGCACGACACAGCAGCTGACGCGCAATACGTGACTCAATGACGCCCGATTCACGACTCTCGCGGTGCGTGGCAATCACGGCTCGCGACTCTCTCACTCCCAGTTCGTAACTCTTTAACAGTTCGTGACAACCACGGTTCGCGACAACCACGGAACGCGACTCTCTCACTCACGGTTCGTGACAACCACGGTTCGTGACAACCACGGTTCGTGACAACCACGGAACGCGACTCTATCACAGTTCGTGACACGAACAGTTCGTGACAATCACGGTTCTCGACTCTGTCACTACCAGTTCGTAACTCTTAGCAGTTTGTGACAACCACGGTTCGTGACAACCACGGTTCGTGACAACCACGGTTCGTGACTCTATCACAGTTCGTGACACGAACAGTTTGTGACAATCACGGTTCTCGACTCTGTCACTCCCAGTTCGTAACTCTTAGCAGTTTGTGACAACCACGGTTCGCGACAACCACGGTTCGTGACAACCACGGTTCGCGACTCTCTCACTCACCGTTCCGTGACACGAACAGTTCGTGACAATCACGGTTCTCGACTCTCTCACTCCCAGTTCGTAACTCTTTTAACAGTTCGGTTTGCGACACTCACGGTTTGCGACAACCACGGTTCGCGACACTCTCACTCACCGTTCCGTGACAAGAACAGTTCGTGACACTCACGGTTCGCGACAACCACGGTTCGCGACTCTCACTCACCGTTCCGTGACCTGCGGCTCGCGACCGAGTTCGCGACTCGGCTGAGAGTGGCGCGCGCGCCCCGCTGGACACGTAGGAACGTGCCGAGTGAAACTTCATCTCGACATTCGCAAGTCGCCCCAGGGGCTCCCTCGGAACGCGTCCCGCCGTCTCGGTCAGCGCTGAGGCCGCCCCCAGGGCGACTCTCGCACCCAACTCCGCGAGCCCGGCAAACGCCGAGCCCGCCCGCGGGAATCGATTCCGCGCGTTGTAGTCGATTACGCAATAGTTTCAAATCCGTTTGACTCATCTCATTCTAATCGATTCGACGACATTAATATACTTCGTTTGCATCAATATTCATTTTTTTGGCTGCTCGTCATCAGATTTACCAGTATAAATCGATAAGCGATATACATAAAATTGTTATATTCGGCTCTATTTAAATCGATCGGAAGCGATTCCTCCTTTGTTTTGAAAACCTGGCTATCGATTCTGGAATCGATAATTCTCGGTCGGGTGATGACGCAATGGAGCGAGAGCGGTGGCGCAGTGGTGAGCGCAGTTCCCTCTGGCGGCCACGGATAACATCAGTGGCTTCCCAGCTCATCGGGTTCCTCCACGACAAAGTTTCTGACTCTCACCTCCACAATCACCAGTCCCCCCATTGACCGGCGTGGTGAAGTATGGTCAAGCATCTCCCGTGACAGACTGAAACAGCGTGGGGAGGGCCTTCATCCAGCAGTGGAGGGAGAATGTATACTCTTAGAATGTGTATTGATGTGGACTCTTTGACGTGACTGAGAGATGTTAACAGCTCGGGGCTGCCTTCAACCAGCGGTGGACTGATCCTGGCTGCTGATGCTGCTGCTGATAGTGCTGATGCTGCTGCTGATACTGCTGATGCCGCCCTATGTGTAAAGGCCGCGTCGTGGGCGAGCCGCAGACACGAGGGGAATGCCACCGGACGGGTCTCGACTGGGCACGACTCGCGACCCGGTCAGGGGGCGGGGCCACCTGGGCAGGGGGCGGGGCTACCTGAGCAGGGGGCGGGGCTACCTGGGCAGGGGGCGGGGCTACCTGGGCAGGGGGCGGGGCTACCTGGGCAGGGGGCGGGGCTACAAGATGAGTGGGCGGGTCCTTTGCTAAAAACATGAATTATTCATGAGCGTCGCCGAGATTGCAATATAATAAGTTATGTATTATGAAATAACAATTATGTAATATTTTTCGATGTAAAGCTTTCGTGACTGCAGGGATTCATCTTCTTGGTTCTTTCGGTAAAGTCACGCAGAAGGGAAGTAATAAAACAATAAAAATATGTTTTATTTTTATTGTTTTATTACTTCCCTTCTGCGTGACTTTTATTGTTTTATTACTTCCCTTCTGCGTGACTTTACCGAAAGAACCAAGAAGAATTATGTAATAGATAATATATGAAAAACAAGTTGTGTATAATATAAAATGGAGTTGTGTATTATATAAAAAAAGAAAGTAAACATTTTAATTCTAATAAATAACAATTCTAATAAATAATTATAATAAATAAGTTCTGTGTAAAATTTTGACTGTGTTGCATACTTGTAGCCGGTCCGCCCCATTCCCTCTCGTCCTTGGGGGGGACAGGTCGGCTAAATAGACAACAACAATAACAACAACAACAACAACAAAGTTCACGTCACAGTAGCCATCAGTGACGTCACAGTAGCCATCAGTGCCGTCACAGTAGCCACCAGAGACTCCCTCACGTCACAGTAGCCATCAGTGACGTCACAGTAGCCACCAGAGACTCCCTGCACGTCACAGTAATTAATTCGTCAGCAACAAGTCGGCCCTGATCTCAATTGGGGGGTACCCCCTACGCTGCACTCAATTGGGGGGTACCCCCTACGCTGCACTCAATTGGGGGGTACCCCCTACGCTGCAGTGCACGTGGGGGCTCTGGGTCCAATCGCCATTGTTATTCATTTGTAATAATTTAAAAAAGCACCTGGCTATCCGTAGCTCATAGAGTACACACTTGTCGGTGTACCTATTAATATAAATATATAATCACAGGTGAGCTCACACAGGCTACGTCGAGTACATCATTTTGCGTGGCACTGGGAGCCAATAGCGAAAGGGAACGTCCTTGCCTATAACCTGTCCACAGCTCCTCGTGCTGACCCAAGGCTCGTGGAGCTGCGATGGCAGTCGCCATCGCTTGTGGCGAGGTCGTGTCGCTTTGTGCTTCATCTGTTCTGGTTGTTATGGTTCTATTCGTTGTCACCGGTTGTTGTGGTTGTTTTGGTGTTGGTTGTTGAGGGTGTGGTTGTTGTAGTGGTTGTGGTGGGGTTGTTGTGGTTGTTGTGGTTGTGGTGGTGGTGTGGTTGTGGTGGTGTGGTTGTGGTTGTTGAGGGTGTGGTTGTTGTAGTGGTTGTGGTGGGGTTGTTGTGGTTGTTGTGGTTGTTGTGGTTGTTGAGGATGTGGTGGTGGTGGTGGTGGTGTGGTTGTGGTTGTTGAGGATGTGGTTGTTGAAGGTGTTGTTGTGGTTGTCGAGGGTGTGGTGGTTTTTGTTATGGTGTGGTTGTGGTGATTGTGGTGGTGTGGTTGTGGTGGTGTTGTTGTGGTTGTTGAGGTTGTGGTGGTGGTGTGGTTGTGGTTGTTGAGGGTGTGGTTGTTGAGGATGTGGTTGTGGTGGTGGTGTTGTTGTGGTGGTTGTGGTGGTTGTTGTTGTTGTGATTGTGTTGGTGTGGTTGTTGAGGGTGTGGTTGTGGTGGTTGTGGTGGTTGTTGTTGTGGTTGTGGTGGTGTGGTTGTTGAGGTTGTGGCTGTGGAGGGTGTAATCCGCCCTGAGGGCAGCTGCGCTTCGCATTGCTTCGCGGTTGCCATAGAGACGCGACGCCTCTCGCCAAGTGGACGTTCACACCCAGGTGAGGCAGGGATACCTGGGCCTCCTCTAGATCGACTCAGCCTTAAACGGGAACCCTGCGCAGTGTGTAAAACGAACGCACTGGGGAGACAAAGGCGGCCGGGCGTGGTGCTGGCTACCCACCCCACTCGAGCGCCGTGCCTTCCTTCATACGTGCTCCTCGCTAACAACACTTGCCCCGATAGCCTGTGCAGGCTACACGGGGGGTCTTTGCGTGTACACAGTATACAGGTGTGGGTCCAGCAGTGGGTTGACCATGGCTGCTAATGTTGGTATCTGCGTGCGTGCAATCAGCTGATTGGAATCATCCACATCACCGCTCATCCCCTTGACCCCTCACCCCCCACACAGCTCCACTGACCTCGCAACCAAGAGAGGTGCGGGGGGGGGGGGTCATGACCCCCTCGGGGTCCTACCCCGGGCAGCCCCCGCGGGCCCGGGACCCCGCGGACCCCGCGCTGGAGTTACTGCGGGAGCAGCACGCCGAGCTGCGCGCGCTCACGCAGCGGCACGGGGAGCAGATCGCGACCCTGCTGGTCGACGGACCCCGCGGGACCCCGAGAGAGGGGGCCCGAGGCCCTGCGGCGGTGGGGCCCGCGCCAGGCGAGGGGACTGCCTTCGGGGGGACCTTTGGGACCCCGAGAAGTGGCGCAGGGGTCCGAGGCCCCACACCGAAGGGACCCCTGAGACGCCGCGTGAAGGGGACGGCGGCAGTGGCGGTCGCAGCAGACTCGAAGCCCCGCCATAGGAACGGGGAGTGTGCGAGACTCGAAGATCCTCGGGCGACGACGCGACATCCCGACGATGATAACGGTGGCGGTGGTGGTGGCGGCGAAGGTGACCGTGGTGATGGACGCGGGGAGGAAGATCCAGAGCAGCGAGGGGATGTGGCTTTGATCCTGGGACTCCTGGGGTCCAGCAGGGCCCGGGGCCCCCCTCCTGAGAGGAACCCCACGCGCCCCCCGTCCTCCTCCTGTCGCGGGGCTCGCGGTCGTGGGGGGGCCAGACCCCCCAGGGCTCCCGTGGACTGCGACCTGCGGCGCTCGGAGAACGAAGCGGTGCGCGCGTGGCTGAGGGGGGCTGCGGCTCGGGCCCGCGTGGCGCGGGGGGCTCGGCGCCGGGAGGCGAGGAGGCGGAGGGAGGGGGCCCTGCGGGAGTCGCGCGAGAGGGAACGGCGCGGGGAGCAGAGCGCGCGGGCGGTGCGCGCGTGGATGGAGGCGAAGAGGAGGGAGGGGGGCAGGGGGAGAGGGGGGGCAGCAGAGGGCGGCAGTGCACCGGGGGGCCAGCGCGGGGAAAGCAAAGTGGAACACCTGAAGGAGAAGAGGAAAACACTGACCCAGATTAAACATGGGGATACGGGGACCCTTCGGGAAAGGGGGGCCACTGGCACTGAGAGGGAGAGAGCGCAGGGCGTGGGGTCCCCGACGAAGAAGGGGGTCACCGGTATTGAAGGGGAAAAGGGGGGCCCGATGTTTTTGAAGAAGAGGGGGGGCATCGGGACCCAGAGAGAGCAGTGCGCGGGGTCTCCGAAAGAGAAGGAGGGCAAGGGGACTGTGGGGAGAAAGGGGGAGTTGGGGGCGCCGGTTGAGTTGCGGGCTCCAGGAAAGAGGGGAGTGGGACCCCGAATTAGAACTGGGACCACGGGGACTGAGAGGGAGCAGCGATCGGAGGCCAAGAGGGACACGCGGTGCGCGGCGCTCCTCGTAAGAAAGGAGGGCGCGTGGCCCCAGAAGCAGCAGAGAGTGGAGGCCCTGGAGGGGAAGGGGTCATCAGTGACCCCGAGTGAGAAGGGGGGTACGGAGCAGGGAGCGCGGCCCCAGATGGAGCAAGGGGGTACAGAGTCCGTCAAGAGAATTGGGGACACGGGGATTTGCAGAGAGCAGGGAGATGAGCCCGTGCAGGTGAAGGGGTCAGCAGTGACCCCGAGTGAGAAGGGGGACGCGAGGCCCACGGGGGGGGAGCGGGGAGCAGTGGGAGATGCAGAGGGGGAGGGCAGAGAGCGCAAAGGGGGTAGAGTGTCTCTGCCCGCGACCACCCCCTCCCAGGGCCCCCCCGTAAAGGGGTTCCGGGGAGCAAGTGGTGGTCGCGGGGGACCCCGCACCCCCTCGACCCACGAGGCAGAGCTCGTGTCCAGCCTCGCCCGGCGGAGGAAGGGGGCCCTGCGGGGGTGGGGGTCTCGCGTCGGCAGGACCCAGGAGGCCCAGGGGACCGAGGGGATCGCGGAACCAGCACTGGGGCCCGAGGGTAATGGGGTCGAGCCCCAGCAGATCCCCGCGTGGTTGAAGGGGGCTCGCTTGCCCCCTACCGCCCTCTCGCGCCTCATGGAGAAGCTGAGAGTGGGGGACGACGGGGAACGAAAGGGGGTCCAAAGGGGGGCCCTTGAGCCACTCGGGGTACGACCTGACCCCCAGGGGTGCGCGGCCCCCCAGAACCTGGGATTATAATGACCCGGGGCTCAGCTGCCCACTTCCTCGGACGTGATGTCCAACGTTTCTCCCCCACCCCCTCCCCACGGCTAAAGGAGGTCCACGGACCATGGAGTGAAACGTCGAACATCGCGCCGAACAGCACGCAGCGGCACAGCCCGAAAACACGGGAGAGCCTCGGCACTGAATCGATTGTTTAATCGAATCGTGATGATTGGTGTTGAATCGTTTGGGGGGATGGGTTGCGAGACGCCCCAGTGATGCTGATTGTTACTGACCGCTGTGCTTCGAACTTGTGATGGCGGAAACATTTTTCTAAACGCTTTACTCGATTGTATATTTGCGAAGAACAGGGTCCCGTCGTGTATAGGGAGTGCTCTTGCCTATAACAACCGGGAATCCAGCAGCATTTGTTTCACAAGCCTGGTTCTGCTGATGAGACCCGCAAGGTCGAAACCGGTGCAGAGTGTTTTTTCTGGCTTCAACAAAGAGCGCTGGACAATGTTGAACTGGAGAGCCCCCAGGCTCATAGAATGACAACGCTCCTCACTGACATGGGGAGTCAGAACGGAGGTCCGTTTAGATTTGCTGACAAAATAAAAGTGTGATCTACACAGCCACACGCCCTAATGGGAGTCCATCTTAGCAGCATGGGTTGAACACAAGCAAATCCCTGGACCCGTGTCGACATTCAGTGTCTCGTCAAGAGAGTCAAGCTTATTCATATTCTTGGTGCTTTCGGTAAAGTCACGTGGAAGGGAAATAATAAAATAATAAAAATATAAAACAATACAAATTCTCACCACGTTTCGACTGCAACACAAGCAATCATCATCAGGTGTGAAATCCACAGCAATAAAAATTTGAAAATCACACTTGATGATGATTGCTTGTGTTGCAGTCGAAACGTCGTGAGAATTTTTATTGTTTTATATCTTTATTATTTCCCTTCCACGTGACTTTACCGAAAGAACCAAGAATATGAATCCCTTCTGCAGTCACGAAAGCTTTAAATCAGAGTCAAGCTTGTTTGAACCAATGCTGGGTGGTGAACTGCCGGATGTTTATCGGCAAGAACCTTGTCTGTGAGGTTGTATGGGTCCTAGTTCCACGCAATACTCTGTCACTCAACATCGCGGAGGTCTGTTTTGGTTGAGGTTGGACATCGATTCGCGATCTCCCCGCGCGATGGCGCCACGCGCCGCTTAAATAAAAAAAACCTCAAGCTTGAGATCTTGTCACGATTGGTGAGTGTATGCGGTGTGAGTGGCTAGGTGAGTGAGTGAGTGGATGCATGAGTGGATGAGTGACTATTTGAGTGAGTGTGCTGGTAAGTGAGTGACTGTGTGGGGGAGTGAGTGAATTAATGCTTAATGGAGCGGGTGAGTGCGTAGATTGGTGAGTCTTTGAATGATTCAGTGAGTGTGAGTGAGCGGCTGGAGTGTGTGAGTGTGTGAGTGAGTCGCTGTGTGAGTCGCTGTGTGAGTGAGAATGATGTGTGAGAGGCTCCATCTGCTAGCCATCGTGGTCAGTCAACTCATGACACCTGGGTCTGTCCCATGACCTCCTGCCAGCGAGCCGTCGACACTTCACGCGACTTTCAGGTACACCTAGCCTGGCACCAAAGCAGCGGTGACCTCACTGCCACTAAGTGGCGAACCGCTGTTATTTAGAGGATGAGTTAATTCGTGTGTGAGTGTTTTAATGAGTGGGTATGCTAATGAGTGGGTGATTAAGGGGATGTGTGATTGAGTATTTAATCAGCAAAGTGAGTGGGTGAGCGAGGGGGTGCGGATATTGTCTTTGGCGAGGGAGTATTTTAGTGGCGATTGTGTGTAAGGAATACGCGTGAGTGAATGGTTTGATGACTACTGTATTTAAGTGCGTTTTGAAGGTGTAGGTAAGTGTATACTGTACTCTATATCGTGAGTATTTTAGTGTGTACCTCCTACAACATCTACATTTCGCCTAAAATCTATATTTGTTATGTTTAGGGACGTCGTTATTGCCACGTGCGTTGATTTGTGTTGAGTTCAGTGACCCCTCCCCCCGCCGTCGCGTCAATCACCGCGGCTGTTGCCATGGAGACGCTCATCATCATCATCGTCGCCGTCCCGCGTTGTTTACGCGGCTGCCATGGAGACGCGGAGCCAATCCCCGCGTCTCGCGGCGCCCCCAACTACGTCACGTCCGCCCCCCCCCCCCCCGCTACCCCCCCATCCCCCCGCTCCGACCGCTACCGCTGCCTCCTCGCCCGCTCCGCGCGGAGCCACGCAGCTCCACCCACTTCCACTCCAGATCACTCATCATCATCATTATCATCCATCCATCATCATCATTATCATCTATCCATCATCATCGTCGTCGTTCTCACTCAGCCTCCGAATCATTTCCATCATCATCATCTCCTACTTATCCTCTTACCATAATCTTCTTCATCATTGCGGGGGGAGTGGGAGCCAGAGTCGAGGATTTGGACATCGGGAGGAGGCTGAGACGCGGGGACATCGGGGGGAGACTGAGACATCGAGACACGGGAGGACACTGGGACACGGGCACGGACGGACACGGAGGGACACGGGAAGAGTGGGAGACCGGGAGATCTTGAGACCGGGAGATCGTGACATCTTCTTCGTCAGCATGGAGCACTACTATACGAACCGGTGAGGGGGGTCGGTGGGGAGCATCTTCCTAGGGGTGGGGGTCCTCGTTTAGGGGTCCGTGGGGAGAGGATCGGGGATACCGCCCCACGTGGTGAACACACACACACATACATACACATACATACACACACACACATACATACACACACACATACATACACACACACATACATACACACATACATACACACATACACATACATACACACACATACATACACACACATACAAAAAAGATCCCCCGTATAGCCTGAACAGACTGTAGGGGCAAGTGCTGTTAGCGAGCACCTATGAAGGCCGGAACGGTACACGAGGGGGTGGGTGGCCAGCACCACGCCCGACCGCCTTTGTCTCCCTAGTGGCAATGTTTACACACCGCACCAGGTACTCATTTAAGGCTGAGTCGACCTAGGGGAGGCCCAGGACCGGTTCAGATAATCGTCACTGGTGTTAGCCGTGAGCAGGAATCGAACCCGGCTCGCCAGGTTCATAGCGCAGCGCGCTAACCGCTACACTACCGCTCCCCACACACATACACACACATACACACACACATACATACACACACACATACATACACACACATACACATACATACACACACATACATACACACACATACACACATACATACACACACACATACATACACACACACATACACACACATACACACACATACATACACATACACACACACATACATACACACACATACACACGTGTGTGTGTGCTCGTGCTGGTGCTCCCTAATAGCACTTTCCCCAAAACTCAGTAAGCGTTATTCGTGGTATCTTTGTGCTGGTTGTGTTAAGGCGTGGAGTGGATGGCGCGGGTCTGGGAATGGTCTCGCGTTGCGTTGTGGAGCCGGACAGAGAACTCCGGAGACCGGGATGGGAGTCTCATTCGCCAGAGCGAACTCGTGGGTTGTCACCAAAGTGACAAAAGAAAAACAAAGTGCAGCGCACTCCGACCCTCTGACACTTACTACCAACACGAACCTTTAATCAGAACACGAACCGTAGCCTCGAACTGAGACACTAACCATGACCCTGACACATTCATTCCTCATACAAACTCCGACCGAACCCAGCACACTCAGCCTCGCCTCGACACCAAACCCTTCCCCAGCCCTTACCCCTAATCCCAACCATACCCATTACCCATAGCCACTGACCCCGAACCATTACCCTTGACAGTAGCACTAACCACAAGCCTCACTCTACCCATAGCCCTAGCGCTGCCACTATCCATAGCCCTCACCCGAGCCCGACAGTAACACGAACCCACATGGCAGCTATTGCCCCTATAACCCCTCACACGAAACCTATCCCGAACCCTGACCCCATTGTTCCCCTCTGCGATCAAGCCACGCCCGCCGCCACGCCCCCTGGGCCCTCACGGCCGCTTGTGATTGGCTGCCCCCTTGTCAGTCCCTGTGACGGACCCCCACGATTCGAGATGAGTGGGGGGGGGCTGCTAATCTCGCATGCCACAGATCGGGGTTGAACCCATCTGAGCGGATTGAGTGGGATTAGAGTAAAGCGGATGGGCGCCGAGGGCAGCAGCGAAACGAATCGTCGCCGTGAGCGAGCTCGTGGAGAACACCAGTGGCACAGGCCCACGAGGCCAAGCGGCCAGCAACAAGCAGCACTGGTCAGAGTTGAAGTCGATCGAGATGGAACACGCTTCCTGAATGGAGCCAGGCTACTCTGGTGAGAGCTGAGGGGGAGAACAGACGATGATGATGGGAGGGAACTCCAGAGCTGAGCAATGTGAGAGAAGAAAGATAAACATGAGGTGACCTGCCGTGTGATGAGTGGGTGAGTGGTTGTGAGCTGGTGGTGGATGAGACCAGGCAGTCGGTATCTCGCGTAGACCCAGTCCTTCACACAGGTGCAGGAGGAATCAAGGGGGGAGCAGTCGCCATGGTAGTAGCGTGAAAAATAATAGTATTTACACATCCCATTCGTCATGCGGCATTATGGGAGTGCTTACATGCAACAGGATTGGTTCTAAACAAGTAAAACTCCGGACTAGTTTTGACATGCAGTGTCTCATGAGTCCACTCAAGCTTACTTCAACCAATAATGGTGATCTACCAGATGTGTATAGCCAACTACTCTCTCTGTCAGATGTGGGTAGGGAGCTCGCAGATTATCCCAGGTGACCGGGCAAAGGGACCGCGTGCATGGGAAGGACCCCCTCCGCCCCCCCACACCCCCCCATGCCCAAGCCCCTCCTCCACCCCTACCCCACCTTCAATTCCCCAGGTCCCACCCCTCCCATTCATCACCATCATCCATGGGCAGATTGCCCGTGGGTGTCGACTGAACATTTCGTCATTTGTTTCCACTTCCCTCTCTATTGTCCCAATTAGCCACATCTTCCTGGCACCAATCTCTTGTGTCGTCAACCCCCCATTACACCCTCTCAAATATAGCCCTATCGCTCTCCCCACCCACCCCCGCGCCTCCACCCCCAGCCAGGAGATGGCAGTATAGTGATGGATTATAGAATCCATCTTTGCGGAGCTTCGAGTGTCTCCCCGTCGTATATAGCAGCGCGGCGCTGCGTTGTCTCCGAGTTCTCCGCTTTCCTCCCCACACGAGGCCACCAGACTCACTGCTCACGGAGTCGCCTCACCTGAACAACCCCACGATTCTTGAGACTCGGCGAGGCTCTTCTGACTTAGACCCATGGACGCCAAGAGGGATCCATCGACTTACACAGGGACACGTAGACCTACAGAGTGAACTATAGACTCCGATAGAGACCCATCAACCGGTACACAGACCCATGGTCTCAATTCACTTACAATGAAGCAGCCTTACTGAGACTCGGCGAGACTCGCCTGGGCAAATACAACACTCGAGTTGGTGACGGCCTTCAGCCTCTTCAGCAAAGTGAGCGGGCTTCAGCCGGTGAGTGAGACTAAATAAATGTTAATAATTACTATAATACATAAACTACGGAGTGGCAGCCAAGGAATGGAACGCGTCTGCGATCACGTCGACCGGGGAGATGAAGCGATGAGTTGAGTTTTGTGTCCAGGCGCTGCAGGGTGGATTATTAAATCGCAGGATCATGAGAGATGGTGGCAGCTGTGCCAGGCCTTCGTGCAGCAGTGGAGAGAGCACGACTCCTGCTGCTGTTGGTTATGCTCAGGCGCCCGTGTGGGGGGTGGAGGGTGGTGCGCTCCCCTCTCCCGTCGCGTTCACGCGTACGCGACAGTTGCTCGCGCGGGGCTGTCGCGACCGCGGGGTCGCGTCGCACCTTGTCGCGACATTCTGTCGCCCCACCGCCAGGCGCTCCCCCATCCTCTCTCTCATCCATCCTCATCTCCCCACTCCACCCTCTCTCACCAATCCTCCACCATCCTTCCAGATCCAACCTCCATCGGCTATATTCCTCCCTTCCATCGCTTCCCATCCTCTCTCATCCATCCTCATCCACACTCTCCTTCCCCATCCGCTCTATGTCACGGGGAGGGGGATAGGTGCGTGGGGGGAGGTATCCTTAGTGGTTCAGTCCCCCCCCACTCCCACTAAGTTCAGACGTTTGGGAG